CTGCCTCTGTGGACCTTTTGAGGCTGAACCTAAGAGGTACCAAAACTGCATTTTAACCCCTTCAAAGGGTACAACAAGCACCCCTGTCCCTTTCATGAGAGTACCCCCAGGGGTCTAAGCTTGACATGGCAGATTTTCTTAATCTTCTAAAGATACAATATTATTTTCTGGTTTTGACATGCATATGCCAGTACTGTGTAAGATTTGTGCTATTGATAATTATGTAAACTGTGCTAGACCTTCTTTCTTCCCTGATAACAGGGCTCAAACCAAAGCACATTTGTCTGCTGACACTGAAAAAATGCCTCCACTAATTTAACTTAGGAAGATAAGAAATAAGTTAAGGCTTTTGCAAACAATCTACTTATAATTATGCTGACACCTACATGCTAACCTTTAATACTCAATTTACGATAAGAATACATTGATTCATCACCTACTGGTGAGATTGGTGTGACATTACGGACCAATTAGGCACGTTTATCAGCATGTTGAAGATCTGCTCCCGTTGCAAAGAATTTGAGACCTACCGCGAAGTCTAACAAAGAATGTATACATACTTCCCTCGCTACATCATGCACAAAACCATGTTTGACACATAGCTTATTAAAGGGCAAATTTGTTTGACTCAATAACAAGCTAAAGATATTACTATGGCAAATTGAATACTGTAATTGCATGAATATAGACTGAATGCGATAATACAGTGCACGATCAAACATTCTCCAGGTTTCGATCATCGGTTTCAATGATAAATTTCCGCGACATTACAGGTCAATCCGAACGCAAAGATCGAGTTTCTTACTCGATTTTTTTTTTCGTCTGTGATATTTTCAAACTTTTTACCTTAGATATGCGGGTAAATATTCTTTGCTGATGTAAGCTTACATGTAAGTGTGCGATCAAATAATGTGTTATGACATCAAGCTTCGTGTATACTAAAACCCTTCTTCCAACCACATTTACGCAAAACACAGCTGCAAACCTAATGGAAGTTTTGCAAGAAGATTCCTCCATCACCTTTACTTGTAAGCTTATATTGAAGGACAGACGTGACTTACCGTCTAAATCTTCAAATTTCAAAATGCGATATTTCTTCTTCCCACATCAAGAACATCACGCCGATTATAATTAGTTCTGAAGTAAACCATGATCGGATTTGAGCCGGAACAAGCTTTACTCACGGCCCGTATATATAGCACGCACAGTGTCAAATCTTTTGAACTTTGACGATTTTTCGATCGTTTCTCCAGAAGCAGAGTGTTCAATGGCTTTTAACCGCGCCTTGTGCATTACAAAA